CTGAAATAGTCATTCATCATGCTTCACAATCATATGCTGATTGTCATGTACGTGGTAGGCACTGTGCTAAATGCTGAGATTTCTAAGGAATAGGGTGAGGCAGTGTTAAAATATACAGATCTCCAGCAAGGACTAAGCAGCTCAGAGTGTTGGCAGAACCCTCATTTTTCTGAAAGTAGACTCTAATTTTCCATATCATAGCTGTGTATTTTTATTTGTTCAGGGGTCTAACTACAAATATACTTACTGTTCACTTGACCTTATTTATTTCTGAAGACTGCTCCTTGGGACCCATTTGCCTCTTTTGTCTTAAGTGGTCTGGCTCTGTGGAAGGCTTCTCTCTCCCTTCAACACTCCTGCCTACTGAAGGTATCCTATCTAATAAAAAGATAATATGCAAATTAACCATCACTCCAACACACAAGATGACCGCCCCCATGTGGTCCAAGATGGCTGCCACAAGATGGCTGGCAGGGGAGGGCAGTTGGGGGGGGATCAGGCCAGCAGGGGAGGGCAGTTGGGAGGGACCAGACCAGCAGGGGAGGGCAGTTGGGGGGGAACCAGGTCTGCAGGGAGGGGGCAGTTGGGGAGGACCAGGCTGGCAGGGGAGGGCAGTTAGGGGTGACCAGGCTGGCAGGGTAGGGCAGTTAGGGGCAATCAGGCCGGCAGGGCAGAGGTCCGGCGTCGATCAGGCTGGCAGGGGAGTGGTTAGGGGGTGATCAGGTTGGCAGGCAGAAGCGGTTAGGGGCAATTAGGCAGGCAGGCAGGCGAGCGGTTGGGAGCCAGTAGTCCTGGATTGTGAGAGGGCAGTCGGACATCCCTCGAGGGGTCCCAAATTGGAGAGGGTGCAGGCTGAGCTGAGGGACACACACACCTCCCCCCGTGCACGAATTTCATGCACCGGGCCTCTAGTTCAAAATAATTGAATACTCCATCATCCTGTTATAGCAATATCCCTTCTCCCCAACTTTCCTGCAGTCTTTTTTAAAAAATATATATTTTATTGATTTTTTACAGAGAGGAAGGGAGAGAGATAGAGAGTTAGAAACATCGATGAGAAAGAAACATCGATCAGTTGCCTCCTGCACATCTCCTATTGGGGATGTACCCGAAACCCAGGTACATGCCCTTGACCGGAATCGAACCCGGGACCTTTCAGTCTGCAGGCTGACGCTCTATCCACTGAGCCAAACCGGTTTCAGCCTTTCCTGCAGTCTTTGAATTGTGACTTTGGTAAATTTTTTCCCCTACTTCATTCCCACCTCTTTAAGTGGTTGTTTAACAATTTGCTTTGTGTATATTTTGTCTTTATGGAAATAGCTGCTTGTATTTATTTGTTCAGTCATCGACTACATGTCAGACATTATTGTAAACACAGCATATAGCTCTGGTCAAAGGCAGATAAGAATCCCTGACCTCTTAGAGCTTATGTTCTATTGTGTCCCTTCTATTCCGCCCACATGCCACTTATCTTTGTAGCAGTGATGATCATTATTCATGATGCTGTGAATAACAGTTTTAGTGGTGTTCATAGACCACCTTTCTTTTTTTAAGATTTATTTCAGAGAGGAAGGAAGAGGGAGACAGAGATAGAAACATCAATGATGAGAGAGAATCATTGATCGGTTGCCACCTGCATGGTCCACTAGGGAATGAGCCCACAACCTGGGCATGTGCTTTGACCGAGAATCCAACTGTGATCTCCTGGTTCATAGGATGACGCTCATTCACTAAGCTATGCCAGCCAGGTCTTTTTTCTTTTGAAATGTCTTGCCAGTGGCACAACTTGGGTTAGATGTGCTACAGGTGCATTTATCTTATTATGGGGGAACACAGGCATATTGATATAACCTATCCTATATAATAAAAGCCTAATATGCAAATTGTCCCTTCGACCGGGAGTTCAACTGGGAGTTTGACTGCTCGCTATGATGTGCGCTGACCACCAAGGGGTGGCACAGAACATGGCGGGCGTCGGCGACGAGGCGCTGGCAGCAGGTGGCAGTGGAGGCGCTGCCGGCCCTAATGGGCCCCAACGAGAGTGGGACTGTGGCGGGATGGTGGAGCAGGTAAGCAGGCAGCGCCAGGCCAAGGAGTGTGCGAGTGGGGCCCGATCATCCCGCCGATCGCCCCACAGACAGCAACCAGCGAGGGGGCGGGGGGGGGGGAGGGGGGGAGGTGGGGCCGCCGCCCGGCTCCCAGGCGCTGAGGGAGCCAGATGGGAGCCTGATGATTGCCCCGCCGATCACCCCGCAGGTGGTAACCAGTGTCCATTACAGAGAAAGGGCAAATAGCAATATTAAAATATTTCTTCTAATTATTTTCCTTTCAATGTGCACGAATCATGCACTGGGCCACCAGTAGGAGAATAAGTAGTTATAAGGAAATTAGATATTTAAAATGATCTTACCTGTGAATAACTTGTCATTTCTTCCTGACCCATCCACAAAACATACTACAACTTTAAAAAGAATTGAAAGTAGATGTTGCTGTATTAAAAATTGTCATTTAGTAACATGTTGATAGTTGCCAGGTGGGAGGGATGTTGGAGCAGATGGGTGGAAAAGATGAAGGGATTAAGAAGTTCAAATTGGTTGCTATAAAATAGTCATGGGGATGTAACATATAGTCAATAATATTTTAATAACGATGTATGGTGCCAGGTGGGTACTAGAAATATTGGGGTGATCACTCTTCAGTTATATAGATGTTTAATCACTGGGTTGAACACCTGAAACTAATATAATATTGTACAACTGTAAAAGTAAGTTATTTAAAAATTTTTTAAAATTGTCTGCCCTGGCCAGGTAGCTCTGTGTTTAGAATGTCCCAATACTCCAAGGTTGTGGATTCAATCCTCAGTCAGGGCACATACAAGGATCAACCAGTGAATGCATAAATAAGTGGAACAACAAATCTCTCTCTCGCTCTCAAAAATCAGTAAAATATTGACATTTAAAACTTTTAAAAGCTTCTGGTAGAATAGCAGTTAATCCAAAACCCTAAAATTTTGAATTTATTTGAAAAAAGTATTCAGGAGTGAAAGTTTATGTGCTTACATGGAAATATAACCTTTAAATAACCTTGTAAATTTACTCATATAAGATGAGTAAATTCTTTGTGGCTATCAAGCAATACTTTCTAAATTTCCTTGGTATGATTTTTACTATTAAAATCTTTGCTTTCTTCCCACTGGAAATTTACTGAGCAGCAATGAAACATTCAATATTAATTTTAATGGTTAGCGGACTTGAAATAAATAGCAGCGTAGATGTTTAGGCATTTTTCATCTTCCTAGGTATTACCTATGAAAATCCTAATTGACAAATAAAAATTTTGCTTTAGGACATGTATGAAATAGGAGAAAGAGTGGGAATGCCATGGTGGTTGGGAAAAAAATTTAACCTAAACTATTATTATCTGGTGCAAGACACTAATAATAAAGTACTTATTAGTGTCCTAATAAGTACTTTATTATTAGTGTCCTGCACTAATAGATACTTTAAGGAAAGTATCTATTAAATGATATAGCCTTAGCCTGAAGAAAAATAAATTATGGACATGAGGTGTGATTGTTTTTTCTTTGACATAGTTGATATAACAATATTTTCTTTAATAAATTCCTTTTATCTCTATCAAAAATAAGAGTAGAAACAGGCCTTTATTCTGGCCAGGAGGGCAGCAGGGAAGATCTGATTTGGGATCAACAAGACCTGCATGTAGCGGTGTTGATGGGGTTAGATTAGATAAACAGTAGGTCGTGTGTCAGTAGATAATGGAAGATTCAAGATGTCATAGATGAGGGCCTGCCATGGAAAAAATTTTTTCTAGAAAAAAAAATGAGTGATCAGTGCCTAGAGGACTGAAGGCAATAGCAGTAGCCATTGTGTCCCAGTGTGGGAATTAGAACCTGGATTTTGGAACACACCAGGCTACTGAGGAGCACAGAGATTAGATGGGGCAGTAGTCAGGGTAGGCAACAGGTGTTGAAGGGATTTGATATCAGCATGGCTATGGGCTAAAGTGAGCACCAGTGCATAGATGGGCACTAAAATGAAGACTGGGCCTGTGGATCAGAGAAGATTTAGGCAGAAGCCATTCTCTGCTCTGAATAGTGGTTTTGGAGAGGAGTGGACCCAAAGATAGGATGACTATGGTCACTGGGCAGCATCAAGGCTTAAATCATAGCTCTGAAGTCATGTTTTTGAATTTCAACATTTGGAACTTCATCAAATAAAGCTTTGTACCCTTCAGAATAATGCCCAGGCCAAGATGAAGGACATGGACAAAGTCCAGAATCTAATAATAAATAACTAATATTTATTCAGCACTCACTGTGTCAGGTATTGTTCTTTGTGCTTTACATGTACTGATCCATTTAACCCATTTAGGAAGATGGAGGTTGGCTTGCAGAGATTCTGACTGGAGCAATAAGATAAAAGGAAGAACCAAGTGTGGTTTGTTTAGGCCTGGGATTCTATATTCTCCAAACACCAGCAGTTCTGGGTACTAAAGATTTTTGTTAGTGTTCCTTATTTTTTTAATGGCCCATGACCATTTGCTTTCATTGGCATAATTAACACATGCCACTGTGGGCATGTGCATTCCTATGGCTTATGTTCCCAACACCCCTTAGGGCATCTTCCCAGGCCACTCTCACTCTGGCTGGTAAACTTTCCTGACTTTGCTTAGCCTTTATTTATTTTCTACACACATTTGGTCACTTGATTATATGCCTTCTTCCTTTTTTTATACTTGTTTTTTAATTGTTTAATATGTGTAAATTTTGCCTCTTCAACAGCCCTCTTGAAGTCTGTGTTGCTTTTTTATCTTCTATAGAGCTACCATCATTTTAAATAATCCAATAAATTAATGTAATGTGTTTTCTACCTTCTTTTCTACCTTGATTTTAATCAAGTTGTAATCAACTATTAAGAAATGAGTTATTTTTATATATTTTACTATGTACGAAATGTAATTTAAAATTTTTATTTTTACAGGACAAACTCAGAAAATGAACCTTTTCCAGGCAATAACAAGTGCTTTGGATAACTCATTGGCCAAAGATCCTACTGCAGGTAAACTTCCTTTGTGTTTGCTTGTGGTTGCTGTGTTACTTCAGAATTGAAGATTTACTGGAAATATTTGTCTGGAGGTCAATGGTTAACATTATATGTACCTGAAATTTGTAAAACACCTGACCAAATGGTTAAGGTTCAATAGTCTAATCATGATGTTAACCCATTTTAATCTACTCATTATGAATTAGTTCTCATTTATCTCTAACATCATCAAATTAACTTTCTCTCATAGTATGTATGGTTCCTATACTATACTAACACCTTCTGGATTAATACCTACTGTGCACTCCTGTTTCTCTAGCGTATAGAAAAAATGGAAAGTACCACTTTGTTCAGCTATCCTTCCTATATAATAAAACCTAATATGCTAAGTGTCTGGTCAACCAGTCAAAGCGTAATATGCTAATGATATGCTAAGGCCGCTCAACTGCTTGCTCTGACGTGCACTGACCACCAGGAGGCAGATGCTCCGAACGGTAGGTTAGCTTGTTGCTGGGGTCGGGCAGATTGGGACTGAGTGAGATGGGCTGGACACGCCCTGGAGTCCTCCTCTGGTCCCTTACCTGGCTGGCCAACCTCCCGCGTCCCTCCCCGTCCCTGATCATGCACCGGTGGGGTCCCTTGGCCTGGCCTGCACCCTCTCACAATCCGGAACCCCTTGGGGGATGTTGGAGAGCCAGTTTCAGCCCGATCACACAGGCCAGGCCGAGGGACCCCACTGATGCACGGATTTGTGCACCGGGTCTCTAGTCTATTTATAAAATCAAGATTTGATTTTGTGCTTTCCTTTAGGTTACATTTTCATTCAAGATTTTTTAAAAATATATTTTTATTGATTTCAAGAGGGAAGGAGAGGGAAACAGAGACAGAAACATCAATGATGAGAGAGAATCACCAATTGGCTGCCTCCTGCACCCTCCACCCCCACTGGGGATTGACCCAGGCATGTCCCCTGACTGGGAATCGAACCTTGACCTCCTGGTTCATCACTGAGCCATGCTGGCTGGGCCAAGATTTTTTTTTTGAGGAATAACTTTATTTATTTATTTTTTAAAATATATTTTATTTATTTTATAGAGAGGAAGGGAGAGGGATAGAGAGTTAGAAACATTGATGAGAGAGAAACATCGATCTGCTGCTTCCTGCACACCCTCTACTGGGGATGTGCCCGCAACCAAGGTACATGCCCTTGACTGGAATCGAACCTGGGACCCTTCAGTCCGCAGGCCAATGCTCTATCCACTGAGCCAAACCAGTTAGGGTGAGGAATAACTTTAAAAGTAATCTTATCAAATTAAATTGTTAATATAAAAAAGTTGTCCTCCTGCTGTATGTTTTCTAAATTTGATTGGCTGTACCTTATACCTTGGACTTCTACTTGAGAATCCCTAGTTTTAAGATCACATGAAAAACATGTTATTTTTTAGGAGGAAGTAAGAGTTAGATTGTTGGATCTTTTTTTGTTTTGTTTTGTTTTGTTAATATTCACCCAAGGATATTTTTCCATTGATGGATCTTATTTTGTTTTGAATGCTGTCTGAGAACAATTAATCTAGATGAGTAGAGAAAGGTGTTATTTTCCTGAGGTCCACAAGTCTGGTTAGGTGCATTAATATGACTAGAAGTTAGCTCTATCAATTCTCATTATTTTCTTTGACTTACTCAAGCTCCTCTCAATTTGTACCTATATTATTTTTTTTCTTGCTCAGTATGTCCCACTGTACTTGTCTCCTTTCTGTTTCATACAGTCTAAGTCACAGTCACATAAATGACTGTTTTGTCAGTTAGAATGCTTTGCTTTCAGCTCTTTTGATCAGTGACTTTCATTGTATAATATCCTATATAATAAAAGCCCAGCGACTGAAACGGTGGAATGACCAGAACGATCAGAGACCAGAACATCATGGCCCTCACCCAGGCTGGTCCCGCCCCCCAGGGAGTGGTTAGGGACGCCCCTAGGCAACGTGATAGGGTGCGAGTTTGATGGGGGAAAGTCGAAGAAATGGGGGGAAGGTCTTAAGGGTCTGCAGGGTTGGGGTTGTTGGCCTGGAGTAGGTTTGGAGTGTGCTGGGGAAGGAAGAGGAAGATCCAATTGGAAAATGGCTCAGCACAGTACCTTTCTCATTGAGAACCAGGACAGTGCCAGCTGTGGACTGAATGGGTGCTTCTTTCATGAGTGCGCTTGAGACCCACATGTTCATGGCAGTGGCAGTACTCCATCAGCTGTTTACTGATTCCAAATAGTAAACAGCTATCAATGTCAAAGAACAGAAAAATCCTTTCCAACCAGAGGCCCTGGATGTTGTAATGCGAGTGAAGGAAACACCACTTAAGGAGGAGCTAGGAAAACCAGAAGTATGCGACCAGAGGATCGTGGGATTGTGGAGGATGCCTGGGCGCCTACCGCTAGAACATGAGCCTGTTACTGTGCATGTACATAGTCAGCCCTATAGTCCTCAGTCTCGCAGTATTGGACGTGACTTCTGGTGGGAAATTATTTCAGTTGAGGTTTGCTGTTCCCTTGCGGGAGGAAGATCAAAATTAAAGGTTTCGTTTGTTACCTTGGTTTGAAGCTTAGGAAAATGGGTTAGTGACGATTAAGAAACTTTGGAGATAGTGAAGGGCAGTTTGTCCAGACTGTTGAGAGCTCAGAATTGGAGTTTAATTGGGATAGAAATCCTGCTAATAGCACCTGATGCCTGAAATATGAGCACTCTACTTTTAGGTTTTTCAAGTTTTTGGAGACTGCCTATTAAAACATTCCTGGTTGGAAAGTGCAGAACACCACGGCCCCTCACCCAGGCTGGCCCCGCCCCCTCAGGGAGCAGTTTGGGGCGATCAGGCAGGCAGGCGAGTGGTTAGGGGCCATCAGGCAGGCAGGTGAGCAGTTAGGAGCCAGTGTTCCTGGATTGTGAGAGGGATGTCCAGCTGTCGGTTTAGGCCCCATCCATAGCGGGATTGGGCCTAAACCGGCAGTCGGACATCCCCAGTAAGGTTTGCAAGAGGATGCAGGCCAGGCCGAGGGAGCTCCCCCTCCCATGCATGAATTTTGTGCACCGGGCCTCTAGTAACATGTATAAAAAACACTGGCCAGGGATTCAGGAGCCTGGAGTGTGAGTCATGGTTCTGCCTCTTGCTTTCTGACTTAACAAGTTACTTTACTACTTATATGGCCTCAATTTCTTCATGGTAAAACAAGATGAGATTTTAGATCAGTGGTTCTTTCGTAACTGGAGAGATTTTGACCCCCCTTCCTCCTCTTATATGTAACATTGCCTAGAGAGATTTTGGCTATTACTGCTGTGTGTTTGGGGGCAACTGTCATCCACTGGGTAGAGATCAGAAATATGATATGCTTCTGTATGTCTACAATGCACAGAGCAGGCTGCTACAGCAAAAGAATTATCCAGTCCAAAATGTCCATAATGTCACAATTGAGAAACTTTGACTTGGATCTATGGTCCAGATCTGTTTTCTGTTGTTTTTTTTTAAATTTATTGTCTTGTTTTCTGTTTATATTACTTATTTATCATTGTTACTATTACTTAGGGATTATTAAATAAAACATGTTCTTTAAACATTGTTTTTCAGTAATATTTGGTGAAGATGTTGCCTTTGGTGGAGTCTTTAGATGTACCGTTGGCTTGCGAGACAAGTATGGTAAGTTAATATCTTTATATATGAACAGTATTCCTGTAGAACTTTTACTTAAAGATCTTGAGAATATAAAATATACCTGTTATATTATTGCTATATCCTTATTTATATGAATGGGTTTCTTTTTCATTTCCATAGCCACCCATAGAATACTTTGGCCTAGATTTCTCCAAATGTAGCATCCCTTTGATCTGGTTCATGTTACACATATTATAGATTTCAAAATAATCTTCATTAAATGTATTTCTTATCACCTCATTCATATGTCCAGGAATCTTTGATATTATTGCTGCCTGTCTTAGCCAATTTCAATTCCATTGCCTCTAGTTTAAGATTCTGCCCCATTAGTCTCTGTTAACAGAGTTCATCTTTTTTTTTTAAAATATATTTTTATTGATTTTTTATAGAGAGGAAGGGAGAGGGATAGAGAGTTAGAAACATTGATGAGAGAGAAACTTTGATCAGCTGCTTCCTGCACACCTCCTACTGGGGATGTGCCCGCAACCAAGGTACATGCCCTTGACCGGAATTGAACCTGGGACCTTTCAGTCCGCAGGCCGATGCTCTATCCACTGAGCCAAACTGGTTAGGGCTAGAGTTCATCTTTTATTACCTGTGTTAGTCAGGGTTCTTCAGGAAATAGAACTATTAGGATATGTCTATATTTCTGTGTGTATATATATCTATATATCTATATATGTATTTGTGTATCTATCTTTCTATATGGATAGATAGATCTATGTATGAGAGAGAGAAAGAGAGAGAGAGAGAGAGAGGAGAGAGAGAGAGAGAGAGAGAGAATGAGTAATAGATTTACACACAATTGTGGGGACTGGCAAGTCTGAAATCTGTAGGGCAAGCCAACAGGCTGGAAACCCAGGCATAGTTTCTATATTGCAGTCTCCAGGCCAAATTTCTTCTTCTGTGGGAAATTGCAGTCTTTTCTCCTAAGGCCTTCAAGTGATTGGATGAGGTCCAGCCACATTATGAAGGGTAATCCTCTTTACTTAAAGTCTGACTTAAATGTTAATCACATCTAAAAAATACCTTCACAGCAATATATAGACTGGCATTTGATCAAACAACTGGACACCATTGCCTAACCAAGTGGATACATAAAATGAACCATTACATTACCTTTCATCCCAGCTGATGGGTGTCTTTTGTTAGCATGTGATTGATTTCTGCCTCTTGCTTTCATTCATTTCATTTGACTCAGACTCTCAGAATGCATTGTGGCCCATCCCAGCCTTCCCACTCCTGACTTTTTAAGTGAGGAATGTTTCACCTGTACCTACTGTGAGGGATGCCTTTGACCGTTTATTTCCTCTCTCGGTTTTATCTAATCTGGCAAAGCAGTTAAGATGGGGTGGGGGAGTTGACATCTATCTTTCTTCTTACCATTGACAATGCCCTGTAAGGCTCCTGTGTGCTAGCAGAGTAAAGGGTGAGGGTCTCTAAGATATTTTTTTCTAATTGTTGTTTCCTCTTATCCCATTCTTCTCTGAATTCAAGAAACCATAGCTTATTCCACATCACTTACCAGTTGTTCTTCTCTCTTCTCTTTAATAGCAGGTTGACTTCCTGGGTCCTGTCCCTCTGCTTTTGCCTAGTTGTCTATTTCTAACAGCTGTTTAGAGTTTGACATGGTTGGGCCAGTCTCAACTATCTCAAACTATTTCAGTTAGTTCCAGCTAATTTAGACACTTATAAACTTTAGATCTTAAAAAAAAGTAAAAGCCTTTATACATTTGATTTAAAAAAGTAATGCATATGCATTGTAGACAATTTGGGAAATATAGAAAAGTATAAAGAAGATGGAAAAAATTGTCCGTACTTCCAGAGACAACCTCGAGAAAACCACTGTACATAGCTTAGTTTGTACACTTCTAGACTGTATTTAAATATATTTGCATGTATTAACTAATATTTAAAACACCGAATTACACTTTTGTTTTTTTTCTTAGGATCTTCATCTCTGCTTACATTGCCTGTCTGTTTTGTATGCTGTCTGTTTTATCTTTTAGAGCCTTTAGCATATTAAATTAACCATAGTTGTTTTAAATTCTGGTCTGATAATTCCAGTATCCCTACAGTGTCTAGTTCTGATGCTTGCTCTGTCTCTTCTAATTGTTTCATTTTTGCCTTTTGTTATGCCTCATAATTTTTCTTGATATATAGCAAGGCGATTTACTGGGTAAAAGGAACTATTGTAAGTAGGCCTTTAAGGACGTGGTGAAGAAGTGGGGCAGGGAGGGGAAGCATTCTATAGTCCAGCGGTCGCCAACCTTTCGGACCTCACATATCATCAGTGGTCCGCGGACCACCGGTTGGTGACCACTGCTATAGTCTTATGAGTAGGTCCTCACTCTTTTGGTGAACCTGTGCCTGTGGACTATGAACTTTACAAGTGTTTCTTAATTTTTCCCCCTCGCAGGTGAGACAGGATGGCTAGATTGGGTTAGAGTTGGTTATTTTCCTTCTCCCAAGTCAGTTAGCTCTGATAATCCAGCAGCCAAGGCTCTGGTTAACTAGTTTCACCTGAAGGCAGACCTTCTTAAGAGGTAGTGCTTTGGCCCTGGCTGGGTGGCTTAGTTGGTTACCTAAGCCAGAAACCAGGGAGATCCTAGTCTCTTCCTTTTTTCGCATTCCCTACATCCAGTCAAGTCCTACCTACACTTTTATCTTGGAAATAGTCTCTTTTTTCCATTCTCACTGCCTTGGAGTCTCACTTTAGATTCTTAATCATTTCTGCTTGGACAGTTTCATTTTTCTTAGTAATTACGCTCTCTCTAATCCCCTACCTTCTTGCCAGTGTGATCATTCTGAAACATACATTTCTTGGTGGGATATATAAAAGACTTTGTGATCTGCCCCCTACCTACCTACCTGACCGCAGTTGCAGTTAATATTACTAATATTCCCTAAGCCCCTGTTTCTTTTCATCTCTCTTCCTTTTCGAATGCCATTTGAATTCCTCTCTCTCATCTGATTACCTGGTAAATTCCATGTTGAGGTGGGTCCTCTGACCCTCAAGAAGACCAAGACACTACTTAATCACTGCTCAGATTTTACATCTTGCAAGTTATGTTGTAATTGTCTTTCCACCAAATCTGTGCACCAGACAATTTCTTAAAGGCAACAGGTATTTAAATTGTTTGTGTATTCCTAGCTCTTAACATAGTGTTGGTGAATATTGAGACAGTGGCCTATGGCCTCAAAAAGGGGATTTGTTTATCTTTCTTTAATGATTTTTTGTTGGTCTGATTCTTTTTCTTAAAAAATTGGTTAAAAAAAGGAGAAACTAAGTCCACTGCTTTTAGAGGCACAGCAGATTTATGTTTATATGACAAGGGGCTGAGCTAATGAATGGCTCTCTTAGCTTTATTGTCAGCAACTGCTGTGAATTTTCATAACAGCTTTAGGACTATGATTCCAGGTTGATTAATAGGAACGATTAAGTCACAACTACTGTCTCTAATGAGAGGAGGTGAGCTTCAGTGTCGGAAGTGAAGAATAAAGAAAATTAAGAAGAGAAATATGTTATTAACAATGCTTTCTGCATATTAAAAAGTATCACTTGCCTTTTAAAAATACTCCTCTGCCCTTTTGAGTGGGAATTTTCAGTTATATGGAAACATGTCTGCTTAGTGGTTTTTCCCCAAAGTTAATTAATGAAAATATTATATTGATATATTGAATGCCTTGTATGAAAGGACATAACGAAGACAGCATTAAATGACAGCAAAGACAATGTTTTATGAGGGATTGACTAGCTCTCTGGGGAAGGTGGAGTGCGGAGTGGGAACGAATCACAGTCAGTCAATAGGTGGCAGCCTACACTTTGAAATGAGACTGTCCGTGCTGGCATTTTACCAATGTTCTGGAACTGTGGAGAAGCGTTTTAAATTCCATCAAGAGGGAGAATTTGAAGTATTGGGGGTTACTGACATAATACTGTAAAGCTGAATACTACTTAATATAAAAAGAAATTGTATGAGTAAGGACAATGCTATAAAAGAGGTAGATAGAATTCTATTGTATTCCAGATAATCTAGGTGAGTGTGGGTTTAGTACCATTAAACTGCTTTTCTCCTTCCTTGTCCTTTGATAGAACAAAATAATAGGAGTGCTTTGAAGACTTAAAATTGACTAGTATAACTTCATCAACACATTCCATACCAAATGGCAATTTTAAACTCTTTAGGCAAGGAGATCCCTTGATCAGGAGCAAAAGTTGGAATTTGGAGAATTCTAGGGAAGCATTGAGTAGAAGAGGGCAATTAAAGGTAGTTGATTTTAGGGTGTGTGTGATTTTTATGTTGAGTACCACACATTCTTTCATTTATGTTTGAGACAGATTCCACATGCCATATGCAAAATTTGTCCTTGATAGAGCATGTGTGTGCTTTAGTCAAATAAGACTTTGGTATGTCAGGTTCAGGGTGTGTTTTTATTTTACACACTAGAGGCCCAGTGCATGAAAATTCATGCACTTGGGGGTGGGGGTTGTCCCTTAGCCCTGTCTGCGCCCTCTCACTGTCCAGGAGCCCTCAGGGGATGTACTACTGATGGCCTAAGCCACAGTCTGGCCTTCCTCTGCAGGAGGCGACTGGGCAGGTGGTCAGGGGATGGTGCCTCCCCCATCACCCCAGGGCTGCTGCTGCCGCCCTACCACAGCCAGCCTCCCTCTGCAGGAGGTGACCAGGCAGGCGGGTGATCAGGGGACTGCACCGCCCCCATCACCCTGCCGCTGGTCTCCCTCTGCAGGAGGCAACCAGGCCAATTAGGGGAAGGCACTGCCCCCATCATCCTGCTGCTGCTGCTGCTGCTGCTGCTGCCATCACTGGCCTCCCTCTGCGGGAGGCGACCGGGCTGCTGATCAAGGGATGGCTCCTACTGGCATGGCCCCACCCCCCCATCACCCCACCTCCCCCATCGCCCCTCCGCTGACTCTGGTCTCTGCTGCCTCCCTCCCTCCCCCTCATTGCCCTCCCCTCCTT